TGTGTGTGTGTGTGTGTGTGTGTGTGTGTGTGTGTGTGTGTGTGTGTAACATGAAATGTATGTATGTGTGAAAGAGAGGGACAGAGAGAGAGAGTGCTGAACATGAAATTCAAAGAAGGCAGAAGATTTCAGAGATCAACCCTGCATGATTGAGGGTAGGATTTCAGGTTTGGAATCAGAAAATTGAAGCTCATTTGTTCACTTCCATTTCCTGGTGGTTACTTATTAAAATTATTAAATTAACAATTCAGTGTCTTGAACTATTTTGATAACTCCTCATTAAAAGAATCAAAGGTGATCATTAAAGGATGGGTCAAAGCCTCGATCTACAGAGGGCAAAGGCCCCAGCACACAAGGCAAGGACTGCCTAGTTACACATTCCTAGCACGCAAGTGGGCTGTGAATATTGATGGCCCCAAACAGGAGAGGAAGAGACTGAGGAAGTCTGTTTTGTCCACAGTGAATCAATACTGTGAGGGCTGCCCAACACACTTCAGTAAGTGCTCATCCATTATTTACAGGGCTCTTTTGTTCAGAGTTTCTGTTTACAAGATTGCTCTGTAACTTGAAATGATTGCTTCCTATCTCAGGGAAGCTAGACCCAAGCACAGGTTTTGAAGGGTAAACTTGAAAGAAAAGAGTTGGTACTTGTTTTATACCTCACATTCTGAGTCTAGACTCAAATCAGGAAAATTTGTGTCTCCCCATCCCCCGCCCCCCACCCCCGTCTTTCCAACAGATTGCCAGCCAAGGTCACAGGAAGCTTTACTGCCTGTAGCTCAGTGGGCCTCAACCTTCCTAATGCTGCAACCCTTTAATACAGTTCCTCATGTTGTGGTAAACCCCAACCAGAAGATTATTTCCGTTGCTACTTCATAACTGTAATTTTGCTTCTGTTATGAATCATAATATAAACACCTGTGTTTTCCTACAGTCTTAGCTGACCCTTGTAAATGGAGAGGGTCGTGACCCACAGGTTGAGAACCTCTGCTCTAGCTTGCTCTTCCATTTGAACTTAATTTGGCAGAAAGATAAAATGCAGAAGTGTCTTATCTGTGCCCAGGCTCCTACGAGTTATGAACCTTTAGATAGGTGGCCTCAGTTTTGAGGAAGGGCTGTCTGGTTTGTAGGGAATGTCTTGGACAAAGTAATTGTGTAAGGATATGTCCTTTTTTTTTAAACTACCACTGTGGGTTATGGAGCCATTTTTTTTTAAGCAAAAACTATGAGGTTGCTGCGGTTTGAATATGGTGTGTACCCTTCTGAATGTATGTTGATGGAGTCTCAGCCTCTTGGTTAAAATCAAGTGAAAAATGCACTTGAAATTTATTAGCCATTTTGTTGTCAGATGGGGCTGGGAAAGGCGGATAGGTTCTTGTTTTGTTCTGTTTTGTTTTTTATTTTTATTTTTTATTAATTATACTTTATTTACTTTGTATCCCCCTTGTAGTTCCCCCCTCCTCCCCTCCCAATCCCTACCTTCTCCACGCATGCCCATCCCCAAGTCCATTGGTAAGGGAGGTCTTCTTTTCCTTCCTTCTGTTGATAGGTTCTTAACAGCAACAGCGGATCAGATTGCTGACCTGGTGCATGCAGGGCTTTAGAGGTGGCTTTAGAGGTAGCATTTAACATACCGCCAAACAAAGAGAAATCTGGCCTTTTCCACCAGAGTCAGTCCTTGGTCACAGGCCTACTTTTGCAGACACTGCCACTATGGCCTTGGATTCCACAGCTGCAACAAACAAGCAGCGCCATTCCTGTGTAAACATCTCCATTTCCACCATTCTCTGAGACAGAGAGGAAAGGGGTAGGTGATAAGTAGTCTCATTGTTCTGCTTTCAAGAAGCAAAACCTCAGGGAATATAAAACCTTTGGAATAAACAGCAGAGTATCTTGTTGATCCACAGCACTTGAGCCTTTTGCTACTGTTCTGCACTGTTCTGGAGAACTCGGTTTACTACATAAAACAAGGATGGGAAAACTTCTGCAATGAGCCAGAGAGTGACTATTTTAGGCTTTGCATACCATAAAATATTTGACACAGCCAGTTTATTCTGCTTTTGCAGGGCAGCAGTATCCAGAGATAATATACAAAGGATTGACATGTCTAGGTTCCGATAATATTGTACATAGACAAATAAGCAAGCCAGGCTTGACCTACAGGCCCCAGCTTGCAGCCTCTAGTGTGTGAATCCCCATACTTGACAGACAGCTCTGAACGGTGCTTTGCTGATTTCAGAGACTTGCTACATGGTGGCAGCAGGCATGAGCATGGCATCAGCTTCATCCTTGCTCATGAGCCGCCCCAGGCTCCCGCAGCCCACAATTATATGCAGAATTAGCTCCCAGTCCTGGAGAGAACATTTGGGAAATAGATACTGGTACTGATATTGGTTCTACTGCCATTTTTCAGGAGTTGGGCCTCAGTCTTGCATAGCAGCAATTTCTTCAGGAAGTAAATATAAAAGGGTAAGCAAAAATGCAAAAGAGGAGATCTAGCTATATGCTTATGAAAGCAGGTAGGGGAGAGGGCATACCTACTAACAGTTATGCCTCCACCTATGCTGGGTTCTGTCTAAAGCTCCTGTTGACTGGCCAGTGGACACAGCAATCTGTGTAATCTTACAGGTAGCCTATAGGCCAAGTATAACCTCATGGTAGTTCAGTCTGTGTAATACTCCCCCAAACTATCAATGCCCTTTAAATAACAAAGAATAGTGACTTCAACTCGAATACAGAACCAGCTATGAATATTTGTCTCGCTTTTTAAGTGTTAGCAGTTTGCTCGATGTCAGCTAACTGACCCTTATTAGATGCAGGCAGCAATTGTGAACGCATCCAACCCTGGTTGAATGGCCACATGCATCCAGATGCTACAGCTAGTCCACGCCCAGGGCAGTTGGGATGCAACACAGTCTGTAATATTTTAAAAGTTCTCAGAGAAAACTAAGTCGACAGTTTTCTGTATTTTTTTCACTGTCTTAGTGTTGATCAGAACTAGCTGTGTGAATCTGAGCAAGATCAATAGCACTAGGCCTGAAATCCTCCTCAATGAAACAGAAACATTCATAAAGATCTCCCAAGAATCACTTGTATAGGAATAAAAAGATATCAAGTAAGCCAGAGCAATCGCAGGTAGGTTAGATCTGTTGAACTTAATGCTCCCTCTTTTCCAAGTGCAGGTGATGAGCAGGTCCATGCGTGTGGAACATCACGTCTGGACATGAGGGTGAGCTGTGCAATCACACTGGTCACTGGTTTTGTTGAACACTAGTTGGGGAGTTGTGTGTTTTAAGATTCTTAAAAAAAAAGAAGAAGAAGAAGAAGATCTACCTGAAGGATACTTGATTGAAAGCTGCTCCACTCCCTTGGGAACCTGATTTGAAATTCTGTGAAAACACAAAAATTTCTCCTATCTCCTTTCCTAAAGAAAGGGGAATGGTAACATGAGAACGAGGCTCAAAGGCCCCGTTTAGGGCTCACTTTGGAACTACATAAAAAGCACTCTTTGAAGTAATAATGGATAGGATAGCACTTTCCAGGCCTTCCATTTTCCCTAATAGAGCGTTTATTCCCTGGAAATAGTTTAGTCCCTAAAAACGCGCCTCAAGGTAAAGTAGTGTCTTTATCACTTGTTCTGCCTTCTGCTACGAGATCAAACGTGAGGGTTACAAAGTAACACGGCGCTATATGTACTGCCAAATCACCTCCCATTTTTAAAGCTCTTTAACAAAGAAAGGTCTTACGCCAGTGACAGTAGAGGACACACAGGACACCAGGAATGTGCCCAAGCCTCGCTGACACCCACTGGATTCTCAATGCTCCTTTTCTAAGCTGAACATACGGGAGACAAAATAAAAGTAGTGACCTAAATTAGTCATGTCCCCAAAGTTAAATTTAAAGTGACCCGACTTCATATTGATGTTTAAAAGAATGCTTGTAAGCTCGTATCAAGAACACAAAATCTTCAAGCACAAAATAGTCACAAGACCTTACATGCCATCAACAGGGTGATATTTTACTTATTCATACGAGAATAACCATTCTGCTTGGTACCCAGTCAGTCAAATTCAAACCGAGGTTTAACCAATAAATAGTTAGCACCCATTTCTTCCATTTCTTCTGCAAGGAAAAAAAAATCAAATAATTGACACCACTATAGACAATATAATGGGATTGGTTTCTCCTTGTAACTGTGAAAGGGCAGGGACAGTGGCAGCAAGTATATTTTTGACATTTCTTAATATATACAATCAATCCCACCTTGTACAGATGCAGGCACATGAATAACATCACATTTCAAACCTGTGCCAGTTTCTCTTTGTTTCTTATGTTTCTGCATGACAGCATCTACAAAATCATTGAAACACAAGGAAAGATGACCAAGATTTTACTTAACATTTAAAGAAGAAGGCTAACAAATGGGTACAGAGAGAGCTATGTTAGGCTAGCATCAACTGTAATGTAAATTTTGAGGATTTAAAGACTCTTTCTAGGAAATAACAAAAATATTTCCATGGAATTGGCATAAAGTGGATTTAAGAAATCACTCTTACTCTAAACAGAGACTGTCCTATATTTTAAATGGTTTTCCTATCCGATTACCTCCAAGCCACAAAAATCCCAGCAAGTTTATGTTCCTTTGTGAATATGTCATGATAAAGCTTTGGTTATAAAACTCTAGTGCTAATAGGCTTCTCTTAGAACCCAGTCAATGGTGCGCCAGGGTTAAAATGCTTCTGCTACATTTCCACTAGTGTAGGAATGGAACTAAAAAGGTAAGCATGTTAAATTATCAAAAGTAAAAAATATAAATGCACACATAGCAACCCAATGAGTCCTTTCATTCTCCAAGGCTGATAAAGTTAATGTCCTTCTCCAGATAATTTGAGGTTTGTTTTTTTGTTGTTTTTTTTTAATCTAGGACACACATATGGGACCAAATCTTCTGTCATTTAGAGCCCCTTTATGCCTTCCACGTGATAGCTAAAGGACACGCTTGAAACAAAAAACAACCAGGTCCCTTTATGCTTCTGTCCATACTCCTTGAGAAGGGAGACAGCGAATAGCCAGGCTTCCCCAGTGTTCTTCCACTCTGACACCCCTGATGTCCCCTCCGGCATTCCTTGTGCTGTGTTCTTTTTGAGATCCAGGTAACATGTCAGTTGTTGGCTGCCTGCCGGGGACAGAGCAGGGACAGTCAGGTAAATGCCAATTTCCACGATGCACGTTTTGCAGCTATGAATTTCTGAGTGAGTTCCGAGGTGAGTTCTCACTAGACTGGTAATCCACACAGCACAGCTCTGTGTCCTGATGCCCCCCCAGGGTCAAAACACTTCTTTGTCTGCTACCGCGTCACCTAAAATAAACGAGACTAAGTGAGCATTTGACCTTATACCACCAAAGAGAATCCTTCCTGCCAAGAACTAGAGAATCCTGTCCAGTCCAGATCATTTGTATCTGGTTTATCAGTTGGAACCTGTGCCTGTAACCAACCTTACAAAACCAACCCTTCACATCCAACTTGGCTTTCCATTTCTCACTCTCTGTGTGCAAAGAAAACACAGACGAAGGTTTCTATGATGAGGAATTATGTACCCTCGCTTTCTATTTCTGAGGTTATAAAAAATGCCATGAGATTAGGTACACCCACTGCCCATGAATTCATGCATGTTAATTAAGCATGCTTTGTTAATGGCACTAAAAAGTGTTTCAAATGAATGCTGATTAAAATCACTGCATGTCAAAATCAAAATTTAACCTTTGTTACATTTTTAAATGCACTTAACCTGTTTTAAAAGCAAAAATTGTTTGACAGAAATGATCAGTTTAATGGAAGCATATAATCATTAGGAAAGTTATTGTGTTTTTCATTTTTAAACACATGGGCTCATTATTTAAGACCTGAGAGAAGTTTGCAAGTGACATAGTCAACAGACCAGCTCAGGAGGAAAAGAGCATAATGCTTTAACACATTTACACTGTGCAAATATTTTCAGAATAAGTTGTATTATTTGATAACACATCTTCTAGAGCAGAAACTGGAAGGCTTTATCTGCAAAGAATTAAGTGTAGGACAGACTTTGAGCTTTGTGTGCTGGATAGTAGTTGTATTCAAATGTCACTCACAGTTACAGCCATAAACTACAGGTAAACTCCTAGAGGATGATTAGTTACAAAAAGTACTAATGGATATTGACTAGGAATTTCACATAATCCTCAAGTGTTATGAAGTAGACATTTTTATTTTTACCAACTATTTAAGAACACATGGTTTTTTGTTGTTGTTGTTTTTTTGTTTTGTTTTGTTTTGTTTTAGATAGGGTTTACTGTGTAGCTCTGGCTGGCTCTCAATGTACGCCAGGTTGGCCTTAGACTCAAAGAGGTCCTTCAGCCTATGCCTGTTGGATGCTGATGTGAAAGCCATGCACCAGCACACCTAGCCTAATGAAGCCCACCCTTAAGTCACAGGTAATATAAAAACAAGCAAGGGACTGGATTTGGGTCACAGTTTACTTACTTAAGGGGGTAACTTGGGGAGGAGGCAAGACAATCATATGAGCACATATGAAGGGCCATGTGTGCAATGGGGAAATGGAAAGTGGGGTACTTGAGAAAAGTACAGAGACTGGGGTGTAGAGGGCAGTTAGAGTACATAGGATTGTCAGCACAGGAGACAGAGAGACAGCATTTGAGGAAAGTGAGGGAGGGACCATCTAAAGAAAGAACTTTCCACAAAGAAAGAAACGCAGGAAGGCACTAGGCCACTGCAGGCACCCTGGCCACTCTTTGATAAGAAAAGCACAGCCAGACCATTACCATTACAGGGGTCACTTTGATCCAAGCAATGAGAGGAGATATATTAAAATTTAAGACAAAGGATGAGGATGTGATAAGAAAAATCAAGGCAATTCAAGGTCTTTGGCATGAGCAAATGGATAGTTGATTCAGGACTGGAGAATTCAGTTATGACTCGAAGTTAAAGGCACCTCTCTTCTTTAGCTGTGAAGAAAATGTGTGAATTGCATTGCCCAACACCTATCGCAAAGCACTTGGGAAATGATGGGGTTAAAGCCATATGCTACCATGTCCAGCCTGATGAAGACATTCTTAACACACATGCAACAGAAAAACAAGCAAAGGGCTGGATCTGGATCACAGTTTATTGAATATGTTCGGTACTTTGGGATGTCTGCTACCTTCTCTTTGCAAGCTAAAACGTGCAGGCAAATATCAACCCAGACCTAAAATGTCATTTTCAAAAGATTCTTACTTGGACTGGCTCAGATGGGTCAGGTATTTTCTGATTTGTTTTCTTTTTTAAATCATTAATATACACACTATGGACAATTTTTATTACTGATTCTGAATTTCGATGGATGCGAAGTTACTAACATGCATATATTAGCTTCACTTCTATGCATCAGTTACCTTAGATGGACTAGCTGAAGCCTTGATTATAAGGGTCAAGGAACATAAGACTTCAAGGTAAGAGAGAAATCTCCCTCAGCCTTCGGGCAGCCTCCTAGAAGGTGTCTTAGGATTTGGTTTTGTTTTGTTTTTCTATTATAAAATACTGTGACCAAACACAACTTGGGGAGGAAAGAGTTTCTTTCATCCTTAACACTTACAGGTATTCCTCTCCTAATTGTTCCCAAAACTGTCAGACAAGCAAAAATCAAATGGAACCAGAAACAGAAACCAGTTTTCTTCTAAGTTGGTAGATTAAGGGTGAGGGCACCAGACTCAGGACGGTATTGCACTGACCCTAAGCAGCCGTCCTCCAGAACGTGCTGGAATACACGCATAACATTAATTGCAGCAGTTCGTAGGATAGATGGAATGATTTGATAATGTACACAATAATCAAACAAAGAGGGTTAATGTTTGTCTCCTTACATATTTTAAAGATTTTCATGGGTCTTCACCAAGTACTCCATGTATGTATATTACAGCTGTTTGCTTAGTAGTTTTATGGAACTCCTGACTGTGAGAATAAGTGGCTCTCCGATTCTTGTGCCTGCTCTTAGGACTCTTTCCCTCTTGTTGGGTTGCCGTGTCCAACTTCAAATATGCTAGTTTTTGCTTCATCTTATTTTATTTAATTTTGCCATGTTTGGTAGTTATCTCTTAGAAGCCTGTTCTTTTCTCAGCAGACACACGTGGAGTGGCCCAGGGTGTGTGGAGTTGGGGGAGGGGGGTTCCAAGGAGTACAAGGAGGGGAAAGCATAATTGGTGTATATTATATGAAAAAAATATTTTCAATAAGAGCAAAAAATGAAAAATAAGAGGTTTTAACATAGTATTTCAATGACTGTGTGTTACAGGGATCAAATCAAATTCCTTCATGTTCTGTACCTTTATCATTACTTGGTGTTTGAAGCTTTCAAGCTCTTCTTTTGTGACTTGAAGTCAGATAGTATGCTTTTTATAAAATTGGGTATGCCAGAGTTTGGTGTGTTTATGCTCAGGATTGTAATATCTTATGGGTTAACTCTTTTCTTGGTAAGAAATAAAATGTCCTCCTTTATCTCTTCTGATAAGTTTTAGCTTCAAGGATGGTTTGTCTGATATTAGACTAGCAATTCCTGCTTGCTTTCTAGAGCCATTTTTTGGAATATTTTTTCTCCCTGTCATTTAACTCTAAGATGGTATTCATCCTTGAAGCAAAACGTTTTCAAAGTCTGTGTTCTAAGTCCAGCCCTAGAATTAATATGCCAAATAGCCTAGGGGTGGAGCCTTAAATTGAGGTTTTTTAACAAGTCCTTTAGTGAACATTCTACAGTCATGAAAATATGAAATAATTATTGCAGTAACCCATGGTGGTACCCAAGACACAGAGAAAAGGCCCAAGTAAGGAGCCATTTGAGGAAGGTACTAGCCAGAATTAGGACATGTGAGATACTAGGGCATGTAAAAATTAGGGCATGGGAAGGAGGCTTCTGTGGCCAACACTGCTGTTTCTTTTATTTTATAAATTTCTACATATTTCAGATTATTAAATTTTATTTTTATTCCTGATCTTACCAACATCAGTTTCATAGGCATCCAGCATGATCATTATAAAGACTTAAGTCCTATAAGTTTAAATAAATATGCATGAAATACTTCCCTTTTTGGCTCATCCCTCTTTACATTTCCAATGAAACCCTAGAGACACATAATAGAAAATGTGAATACAGTGAAGCAACAACACAAGGAGGCCAAGAAGACTTTCCAGCCAAGAGCATTTATCTCAAAATCTTAAAAGTAGAATTAAGGCTAGGAGCGTAACTTAGTTGCCAAGTATGTGGGTCCCTCAATTCAATGCCCCCTTCTGTGGAGTGGAGTGAAATAACAAAGTGGGTTTCAAGAGCCTAGGAGGAAGGTCCCAGAAAGCTCCTGAGAAAAGACATCATTCTCTAGGATAGCATCTCAGCATAGGTACTGGTGGCTGTGGGGATTGTAGGATGCTTCTTTCTTTCTTCAGTGTTGACTCATAGATCCCTGTAGCATCTCCATCTCAGCGTATGACAACCCAAAAATATCCTCACAGATTGTCCGGTGTCCTCAAAGGGCAAGAGAACACTCCTATTCCCCTTATTCACAGTTTCAAAGTAAGAAGCTTAAATACCATAGACTCTCTCAAGACCAATGTTGTTTTCTACTGACAAATTATTAAAATGCCCTGCACTGTCTTTGTGTTGAGGCTACAAAGTCACTGGGTCCCTGTAAGAAACCTCGGCACTGATGGTTTGAAACAGCGTCAATCAAAAGCTCTGAAGGGTGTTAGAAAAAGGAAACGTGAGGCGTGAGAACAGCAAGACAGGAAGTAGTTCCTGCCTGTGCCTTCTCTGAAGAAGCCAGAAACCACATGGGAAGAATGAAGAGGATGTCAACCCTTTCTCTCTGGGGCTGATGACTAAGTCAGGACTTGTCCCCATTTCTTACTTTTGTCTCTGAGACAGAGCCCATTAGTGTCTCAAACTGACTGCTCTTTCCATATTTGCATTTACATGAGAAACACAATCCTAGCAGAGGTGGCTTACCACCCAAGACCAACATTCTGAGCTATGTGTTCCCATGCTGCTCTGCACAGATGTTTTCAGGAAAATGAAAACTGTTTTGCTGTGGAGTTAACACCTCCTCCAGGGAGGCCACTGCTTAGTCTTTACGGGATGGCTGTCCCTCCAGTGGCATAAGGGTCAATAGCATTTCAAGTAAAAGTTATCGCTTCTAGAAGGCAAGGCACTCTGGGCTCCTCTAACGAACTGCTGTGAGCATAGGAGCCATAACAAATGTTTTACGCAGTTCAAGGCACAATGGCTTGGATTAATAAAGGAAACAAAGTTTTATGCCTTCCAGATTATTCTCAAATGGCATATCACTGGGGGGAAAAAGGGTAGTCTGAGTATTACAATGGCTTGGGGAACTGTATTATGTTTCTATATCTTGCAGGGAGATAAATGAAATGTCACTACCATTGAGAATTTAGCTAGAGCAAACTCATATTCCCAGCACACAAGGGCAAAACACCCCTAAAGGTTTGCTTCCTGCTAATGCTCTCCCTAACTGCACATAAAGCAAAGGAGCCCTACTCTACCAAATGAACTACTTACATACCTTCTTTTTCCAGAATTCGCCTGGCTTCCATTCAATCTTGTTTTACATTTATATTTAAAAATCAATACAAATTTAATCTTCTAAAATGTTATTTCTTAGTCTACAAGAAATACAATGAAAGTTTCTTTTAATCACTGATAGATGGAAGATTATTTTTTTTAACCTCAAAGGAGGCTTCAATATTTTCTATTTAGAAGGTACTTGTGAGAGCAGCCGAAAGGAACTGGGAGCAGGAAGCAGGACTTACTTAGCAAGTACAGTGGTTTTAGTTGGCTGGAAATTTATTGGGAGTGGCCTCGCGGGAATGGTGGTGTAGTGGAAGAGTTAGCTCCACGGATAACCTGGATATAAAAAGAGGGTTGTAATTTGGTGTCTTTAGAGGCTTGCCTCCAGGATCTCCCGTGGATACCAAAATCTATACATGCTAAAAACTTACCTAGAATGATAAACTACGTACATATAGTGTATGCCGATTTTTTTTTTACTTTATATAATCTTTAGACTGCTTATAACGACTGCAACAGACATGATTTTTTTTTTGCATGTATGAGTTTTTTGTTTGCATGTATGTCTGAGCACCACATGGGTGCAATGTCCACGGAGGCTAGAAGAGGCCCTGGATCCCCTGGAAATGAATTTACACCTGGTTGTGAGCTACCATGTGATGCTGGGAATTAAACCCAAGTCCTCTACAAAAGCAGCCAGTGCTCTTAACTGCTAAGCTGTCTGTCCAGGTTTTTATACTGTATTATTTAAGCAATGATGACACACAAAAAAAAAAAACCCAAAAACTGTGTATGTTTAGTTTAATGTTATTAGTCTGTGATTGGTAGAATCCAAACAGATCCTATCAACACAGAAGTTCTTGTCATCACAACATCACTAGTAAGGACAAATTATGTTCTAATGGAAAGTGAATTTGAGCAAACATTGTTACAGCCTAACTCCAGTAACTTCAGAAAGACTTCTCTCATTAATTGGTGTTTAAGAAATAGCTTTGGAGTCATCAGCTGTATCCGGGCCTACAAAGATAAAGCAAACACAGACAAGTCCCTGACTTCACAGGTCCCACACCAGACAGGAAGCATTGGGTAGGGAGAAAAGGGATACAGCTAACTGTGTAAAATGTAAGCCTAGCAGACACTCAGAAATACCAAACACAGATGCAGCCAACGATAGCTAGAAAGAAAGAGATGGAAGCATATCATATGAGAGGGAAGAGACACCTCAAAAACAGCATGACAGAGACCAATGGATTAAAGCAGAAAGAAGAAGGGTTCTCTTGCAGGGTTGTCTGTGAAGAGCCAATGTGTTGACTGTAGCTGCCCTGAGGGTTTAGGATGGCCTGTTTTAGAGGGCTGACATGTCGCAAATATTGTTACAGCCGTCGTCTAGAATCTCTACTGGAAGGAAGCCATTAGTCACCTGGATGTGATGGTGGATTGGTTGGGAGCAGTCGCAGAAGGATTTGGTAGTAAAAATTTCTGAGATCCAAGTAATAGAGTAGACACGAGGAGACAAAAAACAGTTTGCTTTCTCACTGAAGAACGGAATAGCTTGTGTTTTCCATCGGGTGCAAAAAAATTCAGAATGGGAACAGCTTGGGAGAAGCTGAAGAAGACCTGGGTAGGAATCTCGGCCAGTCAGTCTCCAAGCTCTATGGCAGTGCGTTTTCCTACCTGAGTATATCCTCCAGGGGTGGGCTCTTGCCATATTGCTTTGATACACTGCTCTGTGAACTCTGAAGCTTTAATCAGGCTCGCAAAGGAGCAGACATACATTTAGAGACCCTGCCTTAAAATCGCTCACAAATACTGCCCAGACACATACACACACAGTGACACTGGCAAATGCACTTTCCTGAAAGGCTAAGGCCACAGGGAAGCACAGCCTCAGCTAACAGAGAACAGTGTTGCTCTCTCGATGGTGAGATCCAGCCACAGAAGGAACCGCCAGAGTTAACAGCTACTGCGCCTGTGAGTTATAGCTGCCTTCCGTCCATACTTGCCTTAGTGGTTTTGACCTTATTACCACTGCTACAGGACCAACCCGAGGAGTCTGGAAGCACTTTACAGTCCTCTCCTTCCAAGCAAGGATCCATGTGGCACCACCACTTCTCAGTCACAATGGAAGCTGGAAAACAAAGGTTATACTGTGTTGGTGACACGCTTTCTTCGTCCGTGCGTGGGTGGCAAAACTGTATACAGGTAAGCACATTGACACAAACATGGCTGGCTGGAATGATTGCAGAAGTGCACTGACAGAATCCAGATGTCCCTTCACACACTCTGGGAAATGCATTTTTGGGATTGGCTTCCTGACTGTCACTGAGTTGTCCTGTGGATCATGCCTAGAAAGAGGATTATTGCTTACTCTTTGTGGAGCTCCTGCCCTGATTTGAATCTCAATGTATTACTTTCTCTGTTGTTTGAAAGACGTTGGGCTTTTCATCTAATTTCTCTTAGCCTCAGTTTCTCCAAAGAGACAGAGACAGAAACACTTGCCCAGGGATGCAAAAGGATATAGTGAATTCAGGAGAAACTTTGAAATGCTAGCTACTGTCCTGGCCATCCTCTTTGGCAACAACCTCCAATGGCAAGCGTTGGTACTGCAATGTTAGTCTTAGCATCTACACTAAGAGGTAAACAAAACTTCCTTCTTGTATGGTGATCATCTCTGCAGTCCACTGCAGCCAATAGCTGAATGGTGAGCCACAATTTGTCATGTGGTGAAAGCCAACTGGAGGTAACAGGACCCAGCCTTTCCTCATAGTCCATGTGTGATGATGATGATGATGATGATGATGACGACTGAATGTTTATTCACCTGTGAACTCACTCATCCCTTACCATCTATGAACACACAGAAGTCTGACAATAAAATTGTGTTATGTTCATGAAGCAAAATAATAGCATAATAGATCTTTGGAACTGAATATACACAGAAGTACGGGAATCTCTGTCCTATGGAATGGTTAGTTCTGTGGGTTCATGGGGTAGCTGAATTGTATGGATGAATTCAACCAATGAGTTGATACAGAACTGAGCTGGGGCTGGGATGGTGGTGAGTCAAGAAAGACTGGCCCTGGCAATACATACCTAGAAAACATCCCCAAGTAAACGTGGCAATTCTCCCACTTTGGATAATAAATAATTGTATTCCATGGTTTCTGAGCTTCAGAGATGTGCAGCCCATAGATTTCTTTTTTGTGTGTTTTAAAATGAGGAATTTGATAAGACTGCACCAGGATGAACATGACAACTTGCTATGCATGTATGATAACTACCAGAATCAAATAAATTAACTCATCCATAGTCACTCATCACTTATCATCAGATCCCCCAAACCTGTGCACCTTGTCACTGAAGAGCTGGGCTCTTCGGACAACAGCATTTCATTTCTCATCCTGCCAAGCATTCAGCTCTGGAAGCCACCACTCCTCCTAGACTACCAGGAATTCTACTTTTTGGCAAAATCATGTATATGTGAGATCACAGGGTTATTTCACCCTGTTGTTCCTAGCTTATTCCACTAGCATAAAGCCCCCCTGGTTTGTGCATGTTTTCACAGACACCAGGATCTCTTTGTACGAACAAATACTGATCTAGTGTGAACATGGCCCACATTTTCTTTTTTTCTCCATCAATGAAGTTACTGGGTTGTTGCCAGTTCCCAGATGTTTCAGGGAAAACAGTGGTGCAGACGCCTTATAGATACAGATCTCAAGGATGGGGATGTGCTTGCCTTGTTCATCACTCTGAGCTGGATCCCCAGAAACACAAAGGATGCCCCAATTTTATGTCCTGTGTATTACACCTAGAAGGAAGATTACTGCATACATAAACTTCTTTTCTGAAGAGCTTCTGTACTGCTTTCCACGACATCTGTACCAATTCACTTTTCTGTCAACCATACACGAGTTTTCCCCTTTTCTCCACATCCCCACATCTTCTTGGGGTTTTGATAACAGTCGTTCTAATAAGCATGAAGTATAACAGTGACGTAGAACACTGTTTCACGAGCCTGTTTGATAGCTCTGTCTTATCTGAGAAACGCAGATATTCAGGACTTTTGTTTATTTTTAATGGGTTTTTTGGTTTGGGGATATTAAGTTCTTCAAGCCCCTAAGGGTTGGATGTAAACACCCCTTACAGAAATATGGTCTGTGGGCGCTGGAGAGATGACTCAGCAATTAAAAGCAGAAGACCATTGTTCGGTTCCTACTACCCTGAGGGGCAGTCACAACCACCTATAGCTCCAGTTTCAAGAGACTGATGCTTGCTTCTAGCCTATTCACAGAGAGAAAGAGAGAAAGGGAAAGAGAAGAATGGAGAGGTAGAGGAAGGAAGAGGGGGAAGAGAGAGAGAGAGAGGCAGTCTTGTATGCTCTGGGCTGCCCTTTCTGTTTACTGTTCCCTTTGCAAAGCTTTCATTTTGATGGGTATCCACTAGTTCAGATTTACTTTTGTAGCCTGTGTTTTTGGTGTCATAACTAAAAGTCCATCACCAGTGTCGTGTTTTGTTGTTGTTGTTGTTGTTGTTGTTGTTTTTCAGAGCTCATTTCTCAGTTTTGTAGTTTCTGGTGTCATGGTAATCTATGGTACATTTTTTAAATTTATCCTTGGGTATGGTATATGAGGCAGTCTTTGCTTGCAGCTATCAACTTTTTCCATTACCACTACTGAAGAACTGACAGTCTTCAGTGAACATCTCCAGTGCCTTGATCAAACTAGTGTACCGTCATTGCTAGGCTTTCTATCTTGTTCCATTGTTCTGTGTGTCTGCTTTTATGACACACCTACACCGTTATGTGATTACTATGGCTGTGAAATGCATGTGGATTAGAAAGTGTGACATTTCTAGTCTTTCCTTACTATAAACTCTAGATTTATTTGTGTTCTTTGTGACTTCACATAAATTTTAGTATTTTTTCCCATTTCTATGAAAATGTCACTTGGTTTTTGACAGAGACTTGCAGAGCATTTTGGACATTTGGCAGTACTATTCGCTTTCATGTTCTATCATTTTCTTCTGCAACATCAGCTAGCTTTCAGTATGCTCATCTTTTCCCCTCTTGGTTAAATTTTTTCCTAAGCATTTTTTTATCACACTATCATAAATGGGATCTTTTCAAAATTCTTCATTACTATATGAAAATGCAAGTCACTTTTTTCCAATTAATTGTTTAAATTTCCTATCTGCAAACTTTACTGAATTTAATATCAACTGTTTTCAGATTCCTCCAAAGAAGTGGAGCGGAAAGAATGTTGCAAACACATTTTGTGAAGCCAGCTTTAGCCTTCTTTTCTACAAGATCCTTTCTTTTCTACAAGAAAAGAAAATTACAGGGCAATATATTTCATAAAAATGAATGCAAAACCCCTTAGCAAAAATACTGAGAAACCAAATTCAACAGGATGTTGAAGGGAATCACACAGCTTGATCAGGCAGGAGTTACCTCTCAAGTGAAAGCATGATTAAATATTAATCAGTATAGTCCACTACATTCTGAGAAGAAATTACAAAAATCATACGATCGCTTTGGTATATCGATAAAAGTAATTTGAAAGTTCCACACCTCTTTAATGATGATGTCATCAAATCAGGTAAAGAAGGAATGTATTGCGACACAAAGAAAGCCATAAATGCCAAGCCATAGCCTGTGTTATAATCTAGAGTAAAAAGCTGGGTGCCTCTTAAAGGAACAGAAGAAGGATGCCCCATTCTTACTCTTTCTACTAAGCACAGCAAAGGAGAGCAATTAGATATGAGAAAGCAAGAAAGGGCATCAAAGATGAACGGGGAGCAGTTAAACTGTCTTGTAGGATAAGGTGGCATTATACAGAGAAAACAGGACATTCTCTGTCATAAGAAAGACCATCGATGTCAAGTAAACAAAAATATAAGTTCATGTTCTATATAAAATAATGGAAATTTTTCTCATTGAGTGTCAAGCTCCGTGATAATTCCTTATCCTGTGTTACCTCATATAAATATTCTGTCAAAGCTGAAGTTGATTAATTTTTTTTTCTCCTATCCTTATCCAGAAGTACAAAGGGACGAGGGCAACATATAGTATAGCACAGAGCCCACATGCAGACTCTTAAATTTATTCCTCTTGCTGTACACTAGAGATGTTCACCAGATACAAACTCTTGTGTAAAACAGAAAAATAGTAATACAGTCATTGTATTAAAACCCTGCCTAAGTGGGCCATGGCTGTACATTGTGATGAGAACACGGGATCGTTTCACAACTCGCTGAAGAGTCATATTTTCTTCTTTCCTTTTTGGAGCCTCTGTTTCTGGGCTATCAGCTGATGGCCTCAGTCAACACTAATAACACCTGAGTCAGGTAGATTTGTGATCTAGGTTAACCATTCCCCATTTAAATCAATGCGTGCCAAAGCAGAGAACAGTACGTTACTGCATGGGTTATTTATTATCTCAGAGAGGTTGCTGAACTGGGGTAGATGGACATAAAGCTTAAGAAAGTTTTTTTTTTCTTCTCTCCAAATATCATAATGATCTCACCCTGCAACTGCAGGGAACTTTTGTCATTTCAAAGCACTTTTAACTGTTCCTCTTCCGATTGTCCCCAAAACTGTCAGACACAGCAAAAGGCAGATGGAACCAGAAATAAAAACCAGTTTCCTTCTAGGTTGATAAATTAAGGGTGAAGGCACCAGACTCATGACTGTGTTGCTCTGACTCTACATAGCCATCTTCCAGAATGTACCGTGATATATGTATAAGTTTAATTGTAGCAGTTTGTGAGGTGGGTGTAATGATTTGCTACATACACACAGTAATCAAACAAAGAGGGTTAATGTTTCCATCTCCCTACATATTTTAAAGGTTTCCATGTGTCTGCACCAGGTCCTCTGTGTAAGTAAATTATAGCTATTAGCTTAGTATTTTTATGGGTCTCTTGACTATGAGAACAAGAGGGTCTCTGATTCTTGTGCCTACTTTTGGGACTCTTTCCCTCTTGTTGGGTTGCCATGTCCGACTTTGAGATGATAGTTTTTACTTCATCTTATTTTATTTAATTTTGTTGTGTTTTGTAGTTATCTTTTAGAAGTTTATTCTTTTCTAATACGAGTCAAAGAGAGTAGATCCAGAAGGAAGAGGG